CAGCGAATTGTGGCCAATTCTTGATGATGGTTAGGCGTGTCGTGGCCATAAAAGTTTTGACCTTTTTTCCCACCACGCCAACAGTCTCAGTTCTTGCGCACTCGCTGTGATTCATTGCGTGATGTCTGAAACCGAACCTCTCGCGAAGAATTGTGACACGGAGAAAGGATTCTTCCACAATGTTTCGCTCTTTAGCACATGGGTGAAACCGTGTCTTATCAATCATCGGAAATTATGAAAGACATCCCATCAGAATATTCACAACGCAGACACACACTCATGATGGACGAAAAGTTGCCAAGGAAGGCTCTCTTTTCCGCATTGTCATTATACATATACACCAAAGTGCGTGCGACCAAGACGCTTGATTGCAGGTAAAGAAGAAGGCAGTGCGCTCTTTTCTCCCCAATAGCCCAGGCAAAGAGTAAAATCATGACAGGTTATTTTACACAATTATTTGAGAGACTGCGGCACAATCCCAAGTCAATGACTAAACATGACGAAGAGGAAATAACCACCCAGAGACGTGTTTTAAGAAGTTATGAAGTGCGCACTGACCCACTTTGGCGAAGCCACCAAGAACACACTCACAACAAAATAAAGACGGGCTCCGCGGGCTGATTCGGATTTGTACAATGTCTCATGACTTTTTCCCTTCTCAACTCCTCTCTCTCGCCGCCAATTCCCTGTTCGGCCACAGCACGAACAGCGCGGTGAATTAAGAGTGTGTCCAGAAAGAGGAAAACTCTTCATTCTGTCCCACTCGGCGTGTGAGAAAAACCTGAGGTGAATTTTATTGTGTAATTCAATTCTTGTTTGTCAAGAATTACCAAAAGCTGTCTTGGAAATTACGATGTTGAGCATCACTTGAAGAGCTTTTCTCGGAATTTTAACTCAAGTGACTTCCACGCAATGATCTTTTTGCGCATGCAATTTTTTTTTCTAGTAGAAAATTTAACTAAAATTCCAAGAGCAATAATAATATATTTCTTCTGCACTCTTTGAAAAGTCGAAAAAGCGTCCGAAAAAACGCTCAACAACCGTATCACTAAAGTTGCCTGATGTGCTGAGAGAAGAAGAAAAAGACCATAAGTACTCTTCTTCACGTGCACTTTTTTCTTGCACACAGAATTATGAAGAAATTAGAAGCGAATTAACTCAGCAATTATTCATGGCGAAACATAATTTTCCGTTTTAATTCACTAACACATTTTATTCACACCGCGCATTTTTCCCTTCTTCGCGCGCTCGCGTCTCTAGTTTCACCCTGTGCGTACGTTATTGTTGCATGGTTAAGACGAGAGAGAGAAAGATAAAAAAGAGTTAAATATGGAGAAAATTGGCCTCAGCCATGTGTTGGGTTGCATGTAATTTTTATAGAAGAATAAGAATAGTTCTTAACACGAGCAGCATTCGAGCAAGTGTATCTGTAACTGTAATTTTTGCGCTATTTAACCAATAATAATGGCATAAAGTAATCTCGAAATACGCCAATGTGTATTGTGTTGTAAGTAATCACGGAATCCAGTTAGGTCAAAATTGATTTTTTGCCTTATTCAGCCAAATTAAGATAAATGCCCCGAGCATACAGCATATGCTGTGATCTATGGTCATTATTGCCGGGCGAAGAAGTTAGATTTCCCCGCAGACACTTTTTCTCACCTCGCGAGCGAGCGCGCGGGATTAAGAAGTGCGGCAAAAGAACAAACCGAAAAAAGCAACATATTCAAATTGACGAATGCGCGAAGAAATTTGTCGGATTCGTTGCCTATGGGAAAGCCGCTCTCGCATTTAAATCTTTCGTTCGTCATTTCCAAAGCCAAGAAGCTCGAACTTCTTGCGCATCTGCAGAATGAGAAATTGTTGTTGTTGTTGTTGCAAAAAGAGGATGACTAAGTCATTTTCATTTATTCTTTGCCAGGCGATGAAAGAAGTCAAGAAGAAATTTCACTTGAATTATTATTGTTTTCTCAATAAATTAATTCTCCATAATTCGCTTTTTTATCTCCATTCTTCCACTTTTCTAATACCACTGCTCGCAGTGGCGGAAACACATGTGCAAGTCTGTCTAAATGAATATTGTCGGTGTTTGAGAAGAAGTAAATGGAGTGGAAGTTCATCGAACTCATCCCGGGAATGAACATTCTCATGCTTCAAGACTCTTCACCATGGTCTAGAGAGAAAATTCTATGGAAGTCTATTCGCTGTATAACACATAATATGCAACATACTTATGCTCTTTCTTTCTTTCACCCATTTTAGGGGCGGATGACTTCTTGAAATTTACTCAAAAACAGATGAATTTCGCCAAATTGTGGATTTTTAAGCTGAAAAGTCTATTGAATTGCCAAAAATGTGTCTTTTCCCTTAAAAAAACACATTGAAAACCATTGAAAAATCTTGCGGAATAAATTTGACGATCAAAAAACTTAAAATTAATGTTCTTCTGCCTATGTAGCATAAACGAGAGGCGGGCAAAGAGAGCAAAAATGAGTAATATAGACAATAACAGATGAGATTTTCAATGCCCACATAAAAGTTCTTAACCAGATGAATTGCCTTCATTAAGAAATGGCACTTATGTTGGCAATTAGTGAAGAAATTTCAATTAATGTGACGCTATTAATTTCACTTGAACCAGATTCTGTCCCAAATTTTCCTTTTTATCACCATCAGAGCAACTGTTTCTCGCGCGACCGCGTGAAATGTTTACCCAAAAGGCAACACAACACGGTGCGTGCAGAATGATCGCGAAGATAGTGGAATTGATCATTGAGACTCGCCCATCAACTTTACTTCCTTTCGACGGAATTTCACAAAAATAATTGCACCACTCTACATGCAGGAATTTTTCACCTTTTCCACCATCATCATTAAAATTTATCACTTTTAATTATTTCCTCTGCATCTCCCGTAAGATTGTGCGTCGCGCAGACTTCTTTCTTCCCGCGCGCGCAGAACAAATAAAAAGAACATCAATCTCATCAACGCATAATATCATTGAAATATTTTCACATCATGAATAAACGATATTAATAAAAGCAATAAAAAAGCGCGCAAACTTGTTCCATCTCCAGCATCGTCAAGAATCATCTGTGAAAGGTTAAGTGCAGTTCGTGTGTTTGACGGGTAATAAAATAAAGATTTTTTGAAATTTATATAAAAATATCACGTGGCCAAAATGGAGGAAAAAAAAGGCACAATAAAATATCAATTCACCATAAAAAATCACACACACAATTCTTCCTCTGAAATGAGAAAACATCAAGCAAAAAACACACTGAATTTTTCATTGAGATGAAATAAAGCCCAAAATTCAGTCACTTCAGTGCAGAATATTCTGTGTTGCCTTAATATATTTTTGTGGAATCATCACAATTTAAATGCGAATCTCCAGAGCAATAAAAGTGAGCATTGAATTGAGTAATCAAAATCAAGAAAGTCATAAAACATATTTAACCAGTTCCTCAAGCGCCATAAAAACGTGGAAATTATTCCTCGAATTATTCTTCTGTGAAGAAGAACCTTCTGCCCATTGTGTAAGAAATCATCTCACGCAGAATTTTCCTGTGGTTTTTCCCATGTGCGAAAGAAAAATCTCCCGTCGCGAAGGTGTGAAGAAATTAAATCATGGAAAATTGCATGGGAATTTATGATCCACTTTAGGCGCGCACAGATCTTGGAAGAAGAAGAAGAGGAAAAAAGCTTCTCTCGATGGTGATACTTAAGATATCCAGTTACCAGAATGGAAGCTAATTAATTATGCCTTTGCGAAAATTCCCCATTTTGATTCCACTCCAAATTGTTATGCGCTTGTAAGAAGGCGCGATAAATGGGAAGATTTGGGCGATAAGAAAAATTCGAGAGGTCATTAAAGACACTCTTTACGCCAGCTAAACAGTGTGAGAGAGCCGTGATCAAGTTTCTTATCGGCAAAAAAGTTTAATCTGCAACTTTACAAAATTAATCTAAATGGTCATCGTTTATTTCTCAAAACCCAGAGAATGTTTTGCTCAACTTACTTCAGCATCAAATGTGCAAAAACATCTCATAAATTTTCTTGCATCGTATTTCACCAATTTGACAAACTGTTCTATTTTTTACACACCATCAAATTCTACTCTTAAGTCCACAAAATTAGCCCAAAAAAATCAGCGACACCTCTAAGAATCACAGCAAGAACACCTTGAAAATCAATTGGTATGCAAATGAACTTTTTCTCTGCTCTGTGTGAGATTTTCGCCACAGAGAGAATGCGTAAAAGAAAGAAATTGAGAGCAAACAAGAAATACACACACAAACTTCATAATAAAAAGACGTAATAAAATATATTTAAATATCAATTATGTTTTTCTTTTCCCGTGATATCTCTCTTTCGTCTTTCGCATTCTCCCAAGTCACGAAAATATTTACTCATTCTCGCGCAAAATCGCCCTTTCTCTCTTCGTCGCACCGCGATTTTGTTGACCGAAATTGTTTAATTCACTGGCTTTTGACACAAAACGCCTTGCCTTCCAGTTATTTGGATTGTTATTCAATTGATTGCTATTCAATTCACAGAGACAACAAATTCTTTATCAATCATATGTGGTGAAAACGTGTACGCTGCTTTACATTGAAATATCCCATGAATTTTAATCTCTTCACTCCGCATTTTGGCATCACAACGCTCATCCTGACTTTATTCTATTCTCTCTTAAAAATGTAATCAATCAAAGCTGGATTAAAGAACATTTTGAGCTCATTTCTTGACAGTTGCGCCGGTTGCACCCATTCAAATTCCCAGCAATTTGCCTACATCTCGGGATATTGAATTTGAGGCGGATTGTGAGGCGAAATGGGCGAAATCTTGGGCTGTTCTGTTCTCACACACCACATACACACACCAACATGTCAAGTGAGTGGAAACAGTTTGGACAGCGCGCTGTCACTTTATTCACCTTGCATTGCCAGGCGCCTTTCGCATTCGCCACAGCAGCTCAGCTATTCAGTCTTGAATGGATTGCCAGTGTGGTGGGTAATCAGTGTCTTTCACTTGCGTAAACGTTGGTGGACAAAAAAGTGCTCAAAACCCTCGGGAGATCCACAATTTCCACCCCAAAACTCTGCACAGTGACACATAGGCAAGCGACAGACTACTTTCACCAGGAAAAATAGTGGAAAAGTGCGGAAAAATAGGTGAAAACTGGTGAATTTCAACTTCTTGCCTCTCTTGTAAATCCCACCACACACACAACGGCACAAGAGCTCCCCATTCAACATTTTATTTTTCTTCTTCTTCCAAATGCATCAATACAGTGAAAATATTGTAATATCCGTGTTCTCTCCGCCGCATACATCATAAACAAGGTGTGGAGTTTTTGAAAAGCGCCAAGAAAAATACCATTGCTCAAGTCGTGCTGTTTGGCCTGTGTTGGTGCGCAAAGTGAAATCTATCTTGACTTTTGTGCGAGAGCTCTCAAAAGAGTCTCTTTTACTCTTTTTCACCTTCCTTCCACTCTTTTATAGTTTTTTTTCTCTTTTCGTGTAACAATTTATATACACGTCGTGATTTTTTACAACCCCTTCGCGCGCACAGTGGTGTCCTTTTTTGCCCACTGGATTCTTCTCATCGCGCCCATCAAAGTTGTGTGCTGTTTTCTCATCTTAATTTGTGCGATAATTGTTGCGCCTTTTTTGCGCCCACAAAACGTGTGTGTTTTTTTTGCTGACAAAAGGTGGAAAAGTGTGTGATGGAAATTGAGGAGTAGCGCCGTCCTTCACGCGGACGCCAACCAGAGGAGAGTCTTGTGAGACGAGAAATGGAAATTGAGTCTCGCAGCATCTCACCACGACGTCATCTTCAGGTTCAGCTGGTTTTTATCTAGTTTTTGGCCTCACACTGTCATCGTGCGCGCCGTGTATTCACCTCTCTCCTCGGATAACGCCAATATCTTCCTTGCCACTCTTCCACACACTCTCTCTCCGACACCCTCCGCAACTTCCAATCCCCTGAGACTGTGTTCGGGGTGTCTCACGGTGATTTAGTGCTAAAGTGGAGGCGCTTTTTGTGCGGAAAGGAGCGCAAGGTCTTCGTCAGAGGAAGCACTTGAAGTAGCGCGCTTACCTGAGTGAACGTGTCAAAATGCTAAGGAAATTGCAGATTTATCTCTTCTACACAACATTTCTCCTCCTCGGACCAATTGTAAAGGTAAAGAAAAAGACGGCAATTGATAAATAAAGGGGACATTCTTGCACATAAATACACAAAAACATTCACAGATACACAGTTTGTCTGTGATGATGAGCTGGAAAATAATACATTTTGATGAAAATGCCCTTAGTTCTTGTTCCACCACAAGAGGAAGTAAATGTGAGAATAACGGAAGTGATCATTAACAAAAACTGAGCTAATTAAATTAATAAATTCACACATACTCTTCAAACAACCAGCGAATCTTGAATGGGACGTTCGCGCGCCCTCAAAACACTTCAAAAATCAACCTGAATCAAGAGCTCGAATCAATGGCGTAAAATTAATTCATCTCCACGGGATTCCGCTCGAAAGTGAAAATGCAATTTTGGTGAGATGATGATGAAAGAGGAGGAAGTTTTCTGTGTGTTGTGGTCAATTCATAAATATATTCTGCAGTGGAATCACACAATTGATACACTTTCTGAGTGCAGAAATAAAAATGTGTCTGCGCAAAAAAAGTGACCACTAAAGATTGGTGGTCATAAAAGGAGACTTTTCACACTTTCTGATGTTTTGTAGTCACCATAAAAGATCCCACACACGCTGTATAGTCTCAATTTCAGTTTTGACGAATTATTCGCCAACAAAATGGCACATTTTCAGAAGACATTCGCAGACTTTTATTTGTACGTGGAGGTGAAAAATCAAGGTGTTTCGCAAGAGTGCCAGAAAGAAATTAATTCACTCAATCGTTGAATGAAATTGAAAAGTGTTCACTTTTGAACACCCCTCGGGAATGTGTGGCCAAGAGCGAATTTCCCTGGGCATTTTCCCTTGTGAATATCATTATCCTTTCTGCCGCCCCTTTAATCCTGCCACTGTCATCTTTAACTGACCGCCCACGCGTGAATAAATGATGCACAACAGAGAGAGTCTCAATGTAAACAAATATATCATGTGAAGGTCCTGAAGATACAGAATCGTCTTTCTCTCTTATAACTTATGAAAACATCCAACGCTGTATTTTCCCTTTATAGAGCGCCGTGGCAGATAAATATCTGGAAAATCTAACGATATGCAAAGATAACATATTCAAATGGGATTCATCTTTTAGCCCTTGTGAAAGGATGTCAAAAGGAAAGGTCATATTTTCCATTTTTCCCCTCGATTTCTTTTCAATACCAAAGAAAAAGAAGAAATACAAGCGATTTTCCATCTGTTCTTGTCATTTCTCTTTCTATCTTTTTTCACTGTAAAAATGTGATAATATTGACTTTAAATTTGTGATATTTTGGTGGGGAAAAATATCGATTTCCTCCCATGTTTGGAAAGCCGTAAATTCAGGAACCACTCTTCCAATATCACATCCTCCCGAAATGACGTAAATTTACTATGTGTAGCCATTATCTTCTAATTCAATCTCTTATGTAATTTAAAATTTGATGCAGCACAACAGAGGCTGTTAAGTAACATTGTTTGTTTAGATAAATGAACACCAATTAGGGAAATTGAGTGCGATTTTTCACCAACCACACGAGTGTGTAAACCAATTTCCCGGGAGGAAATTTCATGGGAGATGCAATTTGAAGGGAAATTTTTCCCGAAATTGATTCTGGATTCTCTGTATATAAATTGTCTAATAAATTCTTCCTTCGTTTCTCTCCCAAGCAAAACTTCACCACAAATTCTTTGAATACTTTAACTCTCTGGCATTCATTAAAATCATCTTCTGGAATGTGTTCTCAAATATCTGCTTCTCCAGAAAGACATCCGCCCAAGAGTAAACATGCAATTTTCTTTTATGATTCTCTGGAGATGATTCAATTAAGAAAATAGTGGTTTTGTGTATTGGAGAATTAATGAACCGATAAAGAGCCTGAGAATTCAGCTCATGCAATTGTGTGTTAAAATGGCATTTAGAGAAAAATATTGCATTTACACCTTTTCTCTAAACAGTGTATTAATTAACTAATGAAAGGAATACACAGAATTCTCATTATTTTCCTCCATTGATTGCATGTAATGCTATAGCGTTGCTTTATAAGTCAATAAACCCGCATCTCTAATTAATACATAAAAAAAAAGACTTTTCCTCTGCAGCTTCGGCGCGGTTTAAATGGCAATGGAGATGATGTGAATGATTTACAATTAAACTATATAATTAAATTAGGGATATGGAGAGTGATGGCTGGAAAGTGGATATGAGAAAACGGGAAGAGATAAAAGCGCTGATGTATTTATAAAGTACGGACCTGATTTATTGATTCCATTGCGACATAAATCACACTAGAAATCCACCTTCATTAGCAACACTCTGCGGAATGTGATAGGAGTAGAAATGCTGCGATGCTAGGTATTCACGCAATCTCATAGCGATTGGGATTCCTTTGGAAGACAACCACTATTGGCAATATAAGTCATTAGTTGATTGCTCAGTGGCAATATTTGTGACTTCTTCAAGCATTGACTGACACGCCAGTTCAGTTTGTGGATTTATTGACATTTTACGCAGTGTATTGGCATTTTGAATCTGTCCCAAGGCATTCCTTTGATCGCATTTCTTCATGTTTTTCTTTTTCAATAAAACCACATTTTCTGATGACATTGACAGTAAGAGTGTAAAATATTTTATCTATAAATTGTTGGGCGCGAAAATAGATAAAGAGATATTAGAAAAATACTCCAAAAATAACTTTCACTTGTATTCTTCTCGGCTCGCAGTGAAAATGTCCTGAGAAAATGTTTGCGCGCGAGGCAGTGAAATTAGTGCAAAAATGAAATTTGCTCGCTAATAACGGCGCGACTCTAGAGAAAATGTGTGTCTCTGAGAATGAAAATGATGGGAAAATGTGTGATGAAGGAATTAAACAAATGGGTCTCCATCACACAAACATCAGAGAATCTAATCATATGAAGACTGTGTGCCAATTGTACACATGTGAACTTTAAGCAGTTAGTAATTGTATGACAATCTATTTTTATTGCATCAAATTTAAATTTATTTCTCTACCACATGGTGAAGTTTTTTCATACAAAACTTCATGTGTGAAGAGCTTTTTCTTTAGCTGTTGTTCCTTCTTGAGCGAGTGAGTGAGTGAGTGCAAAACACATTGAATTTCGCGTTGATTTCTTTGCGCCACAACTTCAATGCAAAGTCATCAACATTTTTCAATTTTTGTTGTTTTTCTTACTGCACAATTCTCTAATTGAAAATTATTCAATTGGTGCGGTATTTCTTGCAGACACTTTTTATCGTGACTCAACTCTCACTTTTTTACCCAATTCATACCATTTAGAATTGTTTAACTTCATGTTTTAATTCGGTGGCCACATGAGAGAAATCAATTTGATGATGGTTGGTGAGAAAAAAAGCGGACATCGAGTGCGCGAGGCGAAGAAAAAACTCGCGCTCTCATCGTAATCAATTTAACATGTGTCAAGGCACATCAAAAGGAAAAACTGAGAGAAAAGACAAATTGGATATTTTCTCATCACACTTTTCATCATGCGAAGACCCCTTTGAATGTCCCTGTGAGTCTATAATGAGAGAGAATCATTGTTGGTGAAAATTCCCACATGATTGTTATTCATTTTTTTTTTATTGCTGACATTGGAAGAGGATTTCCCGTCACATGTGGCTAATAGATCATTTATTATGTAAACCACGGAAACCAAAATCTCTCTGGAATTTGTGTGGATTATTTTTTGCATTGTCGAAATGCCATCGGAATATATTTTTTATTACATCCCCTTCACAATAGATAGAATACAACAACCAACTCTTCTTTATATTCTCGACCATAAGTTGCAAGTTTTCATGTGTCTCCAGAGTGCATAAGCTCTATGTACACTATATATATATAAATAGTGGAGGGAAAACTTACAGAAAAGCTCCTTAGTGGAGAAGAAAATTCCATCCCAGACGCGCTATGCTCTTCGACATGACACTGTCTCCGGAAGTAATTTAATTTTAATAGCACAGAATACCGAGAGAATACAAATGAGAATTTCATTATCATGTCAGCGTCACGTATGTATAACCATAGCTCTTCTGGTATCTCTCTCACTCCCTCGCTCTCTCTGTTTGCATTCACACACATTTGCACATTTCCAATGTTAATCAATAAAATACTCTGTATTTTCCCTGATATACAGTGAAAATCAGTTTTAAAACACTTCCAAACGGCACGAAAAAGACATTAAAATCACTTTCTAACACACAAACATATGTGAGATATGATTTGAAGAAACTCCATTCTGTCTGAGCGTTTTAAGTGCATTTCACAGAGTCTCTCACTTAACAAATAGTGAGATAAAATTAGCTGAAACGGAAATATTTACCTGATATACTTCGAAAATAAAAATGTTATTTGTATTTATCTGACTGTGAATTTGCAAACTACCTAATTGAAAGCTGTTTTATTTGCAATGAAAAAACCCCAAAACTCATTTTCACTCCTCCGCGGATTAACTCTGCATATAATACGCAAATGTTGCGGTTTGTGAACCAAATTGAAGGCGGGGTTTGAAGGGGTGAAGAGCAAAAGCATGAATTTCCAGACTCTCTGCGTTGATTAGTCAAAGCCATTGTATCTGGTGTGACGCGTTGGGAGAGATAATGAAGTAAATGACTCAATATATTTGCCATGCTTTCCCTGTACATAACATATCATTACCGGTGATATCCTCTCGAATTAATTAAATTTAGCAACAATTTGTAATCTCAGACGAATCTTATCGCCGCAGACAAGCTTGTATATCTAAATGGTGTGTTGTGATATATCCAGCGCAAACCGACTTCTGCCCTATGACGATAATATTTCCGCGATACCCAAACACTTAACTTTGGCAAATCCCCGTGCTTATGGAATGAGGTAAAGCCAATTCCACTCTGTGCACATTCATGAGATACAGCGCAATGGAGATTTGAATCTTCTGCTCTCGTTGTGAGTTCAGGTCTTGAACTTTTCATTATTTAGGTTAATTAATTATTATAACCGCTCAAAATATTATGA